CTGTCTCCACTGATCTGTTCACACTGCTGAATGGTAGCACGTGCTTTGCCAAGTTGGATCTGGCTGATGCCTACTTGCAGGTCGAAGTCGCTCCAGTGTCGCGCGAATTGCTGACGATAAACACACACCGTGGTCTGTTCATGTACACCAGATCATCCTTTGGTGTCAAGAGCGCTCTGGCCCCGCCCCAGCAAATAATACTCTCCGGCGTTCCTGGTATGGCTGGGTACCTGGACTACATAACCGTCATGGGTCCCTCCCCAGCTGAGCTCCGAGAACGAGAGTGCACAGTATTTGAACGCGTGCTGGAATATGGCTCCCGATTGCGTGCCGACAAGTGTCAATTTTTCCTCGAGGCTGTGGGATGCGAGATAGTCCTGCAAGAACCTGAGATAGGAGTATCCCAACTGTGACGAAATAGTAAATAAGAACAAAGTCTTTTGCAGATAAAATCACGTGCTTGTTCAACGTTTTATTTAAAAGTGTCAAGTTAATTCAAAACATATTTAACCAAGTAAAACAAAGAGGCAGTTCAATGTCACTACACTACGCATCCTAGGAGAACAGAGTTCGGAAAAACAAAATGTTAACAGGAAGAACAGGTAGGAGTGCTAGGTATATCGTACAAGTTGATAACGATCGGGAAAACAGACGTGATAACCACTGTGCGTAATGGGAGGAGTTTGTGGGATAGGGGATGAGGCAGAGTTATCGGGTGTAAATGGAGTAGGGGAAATAGCAAGTGGCAATGTGCCGGGGGGAGGTTATTCGGTTGGAACCATTGAAAGAGACTCGGTTTAGGCCGCCTTCAAACGATTGACTGAGACCACGTCGGTTTATCCGGCCAGGACAATCGTAAAGTGCTTGTCCGTGCGAGATAGTACTCTGAATGGTCCGTCGTAGAGCTGTTGTAGTGGCCAACGAACTCTATATACGCGAAAAATATACAAAGGAACATGTGAATAAGTTAAGGTCGACGTATGACCTAATTGTTAAAGCGCGTAGAGGAATTGCACGAAGATGAGACATGGTTTGACGCGGTCTTTTTACATAATCCGTGGGATCCAAGTCGGCTGAGCCTTCAGAGTGCCCGAAAAAATCGCCGGAAATTTGTAGCGTAGTGCAGTAAACAAGTTCAGCAGATGAGCACTCCAAGTCGGGCTTAAAGGCAGCACAACTGCCGCGCATGACCAAAGGCAGATGCTCGCTACAATGGGAGGGATTGTTATGAGCTCGGAGCGAGGCTTTGATTTTATGATGAAAACACTCGACTAAACCATTTGATGAGGAATGGTATGCTGTCGTGCGTATGCGAGAACAGTCGCAACCACGGGATGTTGGTAAAGGACCTACCAGATTGATATGGACATTTGCAGAACAAGCGTTGTGTGCAAAAAAGTGCGAATTGGGGTTTTTTGTGTCGTCCGACCTTGGCCTTCCGACAGATCAAACATGCATGGGTCCAATGGCGGATATGATGGTTCATGCTTGGCCAGACGAAACTTTTGCTGACCAGGCGCTGGGTACTGTGGATGCCAGGATGAGCAAGATTGTGCAACGCGGCAAAACGTCTCGTCTCATCTCGCTTGGAACTACAGGTTGGGAGGCACCGCGCGATACGCCACACAAGATTGTCCAGGGGGTGGTGGACAGAGGAATGGCCTCGAGTTGAAGATTAGTCTGTTCAAGGCTTTTAGTGAAGGTTGGTTGATTTTGCAGCTCTTACATGCGCTCCAATTCGATAGAAGTCCGGACGATGGCATTAATTCCCGAACGGGAAAGACAGCCAGCAACTTGATTATAAAGGCCTTTAATAAATCTAATATCGGTGGTAAACTGAGACATAACATCGAGATGGCGGGCCTTTCGGGGTTAATACTTTTCAAAGTGGAGAGGACATAAGTAAGAGGTTTGTGTTCAGTATAGATACAAAAATCTCTGCCTTCAGTAAAATTACCGAAATGTTTAATTGCTAAATAAATGGCAAGATGTTCTCTATCAAAACTGCTATAGTGAGTTTGTGGTGGATTCAATTTGGCAGAGTAGAAAGTCAAGGTCTGGATCCCGTTGGTGTCTGTTGCTGAAGGGTTGCGCCTATGGTGCAACTAGAGGCATCAGCAATAATGGAGAGCGGTGCATCAGGTATAGGGTGACAAAAATAGTGGTATCCGCAGGAGCCTTTCTGAAACGATTGAAAGCATCTATGGCTGTGTCAAGAAAAGAAAACTTGCGGTTGTTTCCGTGTAAAAGGTTAGTGATTGGTAACATTAATTGAACGCAATGAGGGATGGAACGTCGATAGAAACTGACAAGGTCTATAAAACGGCGCAGCTGTAGAGAAGAAGTGGGAATAGGAACTTGCGAATAGCTGAAAATTTGGCATCTATAAGGTGAATGCCAAAAGCATATCCGCGATGTCCTAGGAAAAGCAGCGACGGCACACATAAAATGCATTTCGAAGCATTAATAAAAACACCAAATTGGTCCAGCCGCTCAAAAATGAGGCGTAGATGTTGTAGATGTCCGTGCTCGCT